AAGGCAAAATTCAATTTATTCAAGATTATTCAAAATTTGGCATTATTAAATAGGCTGTAATTGGTGGCAACCATGGCAGGGAATGGCCCCCAAACTGCAAGGAATTGAACTTTTTGGTGTAACATCCAAGCAGAGAGCTATCATACTTCATGTGCTTTAAAAATTACTTCTTTTTTTTTTTTAACTGTAATTACTTTCTGGAATCAGGCATAGCTCACAACAAAAGCTCAACCAAATAAAATACTTTTCGGGAAACCCATTCAGATTTCCCTGAACTGGACCTGAGTAGGTAAAGGGATGCTCCGAAGTACACATAGCCCCAATATACTTTTACATTGGGTTTGCCCATGCTATAATAGCACTGAACTACAAATCTGAACAGTCTTCTAAGCATGATTGTTCAATATACCTAAAGCATTATGTTTGTTTTCTCTTCCTGCAAGTCCTTAGCTGGATCTAGCAGATCTTAGCTGAATGGACTTTAGCCATAGACTATGAAAATAAAACTTCATACCAAAATACATTTCAGCTATCCATAACCATGTGCACTTCTAAAGTTGGAACATCCCATTTTTAAATGCCAGGAAGGAAGGTATGAATTATTATAAGCTTGACTAGCTCAGGAAAAAATGTGTTTCACAACAGTGTAAAAAAAGGAACACAGTTGCACATTTTCTACCTAATTAATTTTTTACTACTGTGGATAAACATGTATTTTGGGACCTTTATCAGAGGGCAGAACTGGGAGGAGACAAGATTAAAACTGCCTAAGCCATAGTTTGTGTTAGAAGTTAATGATTCTTCTACCAAATACCAGCACAGCTTTGCTTAAGAAGAGAATGCTCTGACTTTTGAGCATTTGTGTGGTAGTGTAACTGCTGTTACTGTTGTGGATAAAGAACCTAGGTAGGAACCTCTTTAATATACTTTTTGTTTGTCTTACACTTAAAAATGTTGCCATTTAGTGTTTGCAGCTAATGAACGTTACCTGTGTAGTACTGGTTGCATTTCCTGTGACCAGTAACATTCCTGTTGTAGATGTTAATGCTTTAATGATGGCATCTTACATTTCTATGAATGTAAGCATCATATTTCTTGAACAAGCAAACACCACTGAGGCCTGCATATCAATGTGGTATTCATTTTTTATATTAGGTTAACTTAAAAGGTCTTGTTATTATTCCTTAGTGTATTTAAAAATCAATAAGACAATTCGATTAGCACTGCAGTAAGTAAATCAGTACCATAAATCAGTACAGTTCCATAAAGTGCTGGATGAAATGTGGCTCTTGATTTGTGAGTTTTAGTCTACTGGGTGGTAGTACCATCTTGAGATGAACTGCTTGAGAGTACAACCGTGATGAGAAACAGCCCAAAGACTTGCAGTGTCTTTGCTGGATTCTGAAAATGACTCAAGCATCACTGTATTTTTTTTCTTTATAAGAATCTAAAAAACCTGTAGCTGTCATCTTCATCTTTGTAAACTAATTACCTGTGATTCATACTGATGTGTTTAAAGTGGTGTTCTTATTCATTTTAATTTGCATATAATTAGGGGGTAGAAAACCAAGCTTGAATTTTTTTAATGTTCATTAAGAAATAGATCTAACAGGCAAGAGTCAGGCCATGGCCCCTGTACGATCATATATTCTGAAGCACTAAAGAAACCTGAGGCTGTCCTTTGCAAGGCTGACTGCTGTGTTCTGGAGCAATCTTGCAAGGTGCCATATGCTCCCCATGATGTTGTGAAAGCACTTGGCTCCCACCAACAAAAATGATCCACACTGATTATTAGTAAAGAACCTTGATCTTTGCTCACCCAAAGTGTTTCTCAGAAGAGACTCTACTGAGCACAAGATCAAATGAGTTTTTCAAATGTTCCGTGGGTATGATGCAAAAGCAAACTTGAAGAATGTTAACTTTCATTCTCATAGGATAGCTTAGGGGTTTTTGATGTATTTTTTATATATGTATGCCTGGTTTTGGGGAGAGGATTGTTTTCTTCCCTCAGGAAGGAGATCAGGGTGATTTTGGTTTAGGTTGACTGAATAACTAAACAGTGCCAATATGTTACTTGACTGATCTCATCTTTCTGCAAATGCAACTACCTCAGGTTATTGCTGCAACAGAATGGCTTGTGAAGGCAAAGTGTAATAGTTTATAGAAATCATATTAGTGAAAGGACACACTGGTGCAGAAAGCTTCACTATTTTCCTTTGCTTGCAGTCAGATCCTTGGTTTAATAAACATGGGAATAAAGCTAGTGAAATAAACCTAAAATAACAACTTTATTAATACTTGCAACTGTCAGGCTTAAGAGCTAATTTATATTGACATAATTGTGAATTGATCCCGTCTGCCTTTTTTTCTAATCTTCTTGTGGCATGGCATTTCCCCAGCCTTGACCTCTTCTATCTCCAGCAGATTTCCATGTAGGTCGGGGTCAACTGAGGATGGGACGAGATGCTTCCAGAAGCTCCAACTATTGATCTTTGCACACAGCTTGCTCTAAAATTTCTCCAGCACAGTTACATCATCTTTTTGCTTCCTACCTCCCGTTGTAGCCTTCCCCTGCAAAAGCAGCACCATCTCCAGCAGCATCTTTGTAAAGCAACAATAAGACAGGGTCTGGTCACCCCTCTTCTTGCCTGAGAGTCCTTTTCTTAGATCACTGGAGGAGCTGAGAGCTGACATTGCTAAATAAACCAGCTTCCACCTTCTGGCTGGCTTAACACTTTTCTGTTTGCATCTAGCAGCTTTTGCCCTACAAAGTTGAATTTAATTTTATTTTTATTCTTTTCTTTTTCTACATTCCATGGTAACCTAACTTCTGCCTATTAATGCATTTTTCTCTCTTTGCTTCTAACTGCTTAACCTGCTCTTTGTACTTACTGCTTGCAATTTTCAATCTTACTGCCCTTTTTTGTGCCTTCACAGTCTTTCTCTGAACCATTTACTATTTCAGAGTATGGATAACTGACTTCTCTTTTCTCTGATTTGTCCCTTATTTCTATCTTTATATTTCTTTCCCTTCACTCCTAATCACCATGTACTGATATTTTAAGTCATGTTGTACTCTGAAACTCTCAAAAAAAACCTACTTCTTTAGTCCATTGACCTGCAATGACGTGCTACCCCAGCATCTTATTGTAGTCTCATGATAACGGGGAGAAGCTAATCTTTCCAATTACACAGAGAAAGATGAATTTCAGAGGAGCACATGCCCAAAAGTATTTGAGTACTAGCTTTTCCTGAGCATGCCAATTTGTATACATTTCTGTTGGTAATTGTGCAGACTTGAGGAAATCTTTTCTCCTGCTTCTTGTTCTTATCATCTGTTTGAGGAGCCAAAGAGAACAAAAAGCTCTTTTTTTATCCAGATATGTGATCTGGCATAGACTTACAGGACAGCCACAGAAGCAGCAATACTCACATGAGTCAAGTGTTTGGGGAGCAGATATGAACAGTGGGAAAGGAAATTAGTTGTTCACGCCAGCAGTAGTACCTAAGGACATGCACATCAACTTAAGGCCCCAAAAATCCTAAGTTGTTTAAATATCTGTTTGTGGTTTTGTCTTAAACGTCCCTATGTATTAACCCTCTTCTATCTGAATGAAGAAAAATCCTTACCCTTTAAATGGTCTGACAAATGTTACTCTGACGTATGTGCTGTAGCAGAGCAATTTGCAATTGCAGATGGACTTTTTCCAGCATTGGAAAAGTTCATCCAACTTTTTTTCAGCTCCATTCAAGCATGGAAAACCTATCTTTGTGTGGTGTTTCCCCCCTCCCCGCACCCCTCCCCTTTCTGTTTTTCACCGTTTTCTCAAATGAGGAGACTACTGTGAAAGGTGAAATAAACCAGTTCCTGTGAACTATGATTTCTGAGTTCTGACTTGGGGACATTAGTTTCAATACTCCTATCTCCCCTGTGTATCAAGATCTGCAGATCTGAAGAAGGTTTGTTTCAAGTGACCCATTTTTTCCGAGGGGCTCTGGATCTTCCTTCAGAAATCTGTTTCTAGTTGGAGTTGCACAAACGGGCAAGTCTTTTCATTCTTTACATAAAATTTGTGAATAGATACATAGACTTCCCTTACAGCTTTTCACTGAAGAATTCTTTGTAATTGTTTACACGTCCCTCAGGCATAAAGTTAAAAAAAAAAAAAAAAAAGAAGAAGAAAATAAAAAGAAATATTGTGCTATTTGTTTTAATAAACCCATATTCAACTTACTCATGAGGCAGGGCTTTCAACAATAAAAAAATATGTTATATTAAAGGAGAGGGTAAGATTTTTCATCTATGGCTACAGGGTGTGCTCTTCCCAGGGGAACTGGAGCAGTTTTGCTGAACTGCTGAGTTGCAGATGATTTCATGCACCAGAGGATATAGACAGCACTCTGAAAACAGGGGATTAGGGATACCCTGTATACTATCACAAGGACTAAAAATCAGGTAGTATCCTTATAGGAGGTCATTTAGCTAAAATAATAAATTCTTTTGTCATGAAGAATTGTTTCTAGCAGACCAGTGTGAAAGAATAAGTCAGATAGCATGGTGTTAATACAGAGATCTTACCAATATGATTGACTGAGTCCTAAGCTACTTGGCCTGCAAATTCAGAGCCTCCCTAGCACCCTTTGTGCTTCAGCACTGATGCTTTGGTGAGCCTTGTAGTTTGTTTTTGGAGAGAGACTTTGTCTCTTGCTCTTTTGTGGAAATTGTATTTTTAGCATTAGAAGTCATTTTGGACAGAAGAAGAAAGGGGGTGGGGGCAGAATGGAGCAGTGGTCAGAGTAAAGAATCATTTCACTTGAAATATGTCAAAACAAGATACTTTGGAATTTAAATGAATATACACTTTGAAACACCCAAGTTCCAAATAATTTCCAATGAAAATATTCAGTTTCAATATCTCAGCATTTTCCTGTAACTACTGTTTCATCAGAAATCTCCTTAAGCAACTCTATTTTGGCATATGCGCTTTTGTATTTATTACTGTTTTCTTTTGGGTTCAGATCACTCAGTAAAGAAATCAACCATGACAGCAGAAACTGAATCCAGCAATGTCAGTGACTCAAATCAAGAAGCAGAACCTGCCCAGCTTTTGGCTAATGAAGCTAACAGAAATCTACCAGTCAAAAAGAAGAATTCCTGTTGCACTGGCTTGAAGGTTTGGTGCCTTATCAATATGATCATGCTGTTATATGTTAGGAAATGTTCTTCAAGATATGACATGCCAGATTACTTCATTCGTGTTCACCCTATGTTTTCTGAAACTGGATACACACTGAAGTACAGGGATGGTTGAATCTTATCTTTGTCCTAAAGAAAATAAAAATTCCTGATTTACCATATTACTTGCAAGTTACTCACAGGTGGATGCCCTTTTGGATCATTAGAGAAAAGTAGCAACCTCCAGTAGAAGCAGCCTAAAATAAGTGACTATGGTACACTGTTGTCTGGAGGTCGCTAACACCATCCCTTCTTGTAGGGACAAAATAGGGTGAAGTGAATTGTATTCCAGGGCTTTTACCTAATCCAGGGCTGTAGGTCAGACAGTCCACTGATTCCCACAAACACAAAAGCTTTCAGGATCACACAAGAAGAATTCACTGAACAAAGAAAGTAAACTAATAAGAATTTTGTTTTCATGTTAAAGCTGTAGTATGTATTGCTTCTGGCTGAGCTGAAAATACTACAACAGTAAGAATTCTTTTGGCAGCCATGAGTTTGGGTTTATGTTTTGACTACTTCTTCAGCCAGCTTCCTCTCAGGTTAAGTTCCATAGGCTCAGTAGAGTTGCAATAGAGGACACATTTCTCTTTATAAAAAAAGCCGGAAGATTAATGAAAAAAATAGGTAATTGCAAGCTTCCAAAATATGCCAAAATATTTTGGCTTAAGCATCGGGCAAGGATCTTTATATTTCTTATTTTATCTGATTCACATCTGCCACCCATACACACTTGCAAAAAGTAGGGTCTTATTTCCCTGGGAGACTCACTGCTAACTTGCCGACATATATGTGGGTAATGTGGCAAGACTGTGAATCTATGTCTAACTTTATGGCAATTACAGTTTAACATGCACAATACGTTGGAGGTAATAAAAGACAAACTGTTATTTTCCCTTACAGTCTATCAAATGTTCTGTGTTTTACCTAGGGATTGCATTTTTGAACTCAAAATACCCAAGTCACTTTTGTTTGTGTTTTCATGCTTAACAGCAGTTTGTGATTTCAACCAAACCCCCTGAGAGCACTGCTGGAATAAGACAAGAAAGGTGTTTCTTACAGACTTTTTGCCAGCTGAGCTCAGGAAATATTAAACATGTCAGGACAAAACCTGCACTTGTGACATTTTTCTCTTTATTCCTGATAAAAAGAGAGTAAATATACCTATTTTCAAGCTTTTTTTTTTCCAGTATTGGCTTCATTTCTTAAAGTAGATAGTATTGCAAAGTCAAAATCTATATTTACTTTTATGTACATACCCAACATTTTCTTGTATTGGAACTTTTACCCACTGAACAATAAGTCTATTTGTTTTTTAAGACTCTGTTGAAATAGTTGGATAATATTTAAACAAACTTAGTTTAACTTTTTATCAAACTCATCTTTATTTGTAAAAGCCAAAATTTTAGGGTGGTGTTTTAGTGGGAACACCTATAAACTTAAAAAGAATACAGTTTTCCCTTATGAGGTATATGATATACAGGCAACATAGCCATAATCCAAACATTTTAAAATATATCATCTGAATGAGAGATGAACTCAACAAGTCTGTTCCACCTTCCACACACTGCGATATCATAGAAACTTGCATAAAGCCTTTTATTTTGATGCCATGGCTATTTACAAGTTTGAGATAGAACCAGTTACAAACTGGCCTAAAATAAGTGACGTGGGGCCCAAGCAGAGGAAAATTGGGCTAATATTACTTCTATGTCGTATTAGTATTAGTAAATCTATCTTGATTAGGTATTTAATTTGTGGCAAATTTTAGACTTCTGCAGCATCTAAAAATATCACAATTTTGGCTGCCTTCAGCTTTTTGATTAAAGTAACTACAGGATATCACTAAGGTGACTAGTCCCCAGTGAGTACTTTGCCAAATTTAAGTTTCACAGGCTGTAGGATTTCTGCTTTGGAATACCTCTGGTCAGCAATGCAGAGATCAGGCTTTCTGTCTATTAAGATTGCAAACCTGAACCCTAAAAGAAGCAGCTGCTCTCGGCACTCCATCTTACACCAGCCGTTTTCAGCAGGGAAAGCCAGGAGCAAACAGTGCTGAGAGACCACCCTAGTGCTCCATAGCATTAGGGTATGTGAATATTAATCCACACGATATTGTCACTGCACTTTGAGTAGCAAACATATACCATTATAATGATTGCTCCACACAGTTTTAAACATATTTGATCCCCCTGTGACCAATTATCCTGCCTCTACCTCCCACTTTCTGTCTTAATCTTTCCTCAGGTATTTCTTGCTGCTTTATCGTTCAGCTACTTGAGTAAAACGTTGTCTGGTACGATTATGAAGAGTTCTATCACTCAGATTGAACGAAGATTTGCCCTGACGTCATCTACTGTTGGTTTCATTGATGGGAGCTTTGAGATGGGTAATTGATGTTTCATAACATGCAGAGATCTACTTAGACAAACACAAGGCACAGCATCTAGCACTAATTTTGTTGCATACCTTCTAGGTAACTTGCTGGTGATTGCATTTGTAAGCTACTTTGGAGCTAAACTTCATCGGCCCAAAGTAATAGCTGTTGGATGCTTTACTATGGCCGTGGGAAGTTTTTTGACAGCAATGCCTCATTTCTTCATGGGATAGTAAGTACTAATCAAGATTAATTCAGGTAACCTAGCATTGGAATTGGATACTGATTTCTGGTTTTTGAATGAAACTTGGTGTATAGATTTCCAAAGGCCTATAGCACCTCGCCTCAATGTCCAACGAATCACACTTTGCACACATATCACTGCTCATTTTATCTGGTTGGAAAATTATGGCTTCTTTGCAGAAAAAGTTCAACTCCTCGAAAAGATAGGGAAATCACAATGCTTTAGTTTTCAGCCAGACTTGTTGAGAAAAAGAGGCAAAGAAGGAAATTATTTTTCCAAAATCCTTAGAATTTTATTTTTTTGTCAGGAAAAAACAGCTATGAGAAACTTATGAAAATTCAAGTTTCAAAGAGAACATATTTTCTTCAAAAATCTTCAAACATACTACTGGGCTGGTGCTATCTCTTTAATGAATTATATATTCTTCCTGAATGGCAAACTGTAAGAACACCTATTGGAAAAATCATTGTCAACCTAAGAATGTGGCATCACATGTTGCTAATAAAGATGTCATGATCATGTAGGCAGGAAAGACAAACCATTATGAACCACATAAAATTATGAGGAATATAGAATACATGTATATGATTTCCAGAATAAGCCTGTACTGTTCTGAACAGGATCTCAAAGCTCTGAGCCAGTAACTTTGTACTGAGTGACATCTCTATGTGAAATATGACTTTATTTATAGCAATAGGTAACTCATTAAAATCAGGGATTCAGAGCTTACTTGGTGATGAAACCAGCCCACGAAGATGCTCAGTAAAAGAAATCCCACTCCTTGAAAGAAGAAACCAGAGCCTTGTTGTGTAAGGTGACACATTTTGCTCTCCTGTGGCAAACAGCTGCTCCTCACACAGAACAGCCTCTCTCAGCTTTGCATAGAACCTGCAGATGGATAAGAGCTGATAGAGCTGGTACCAGGGTTTTTCCTGTTCCCGATTCACATGGCTGGTTAAATTGATTTTCCATGGCTGGTTAGACTAATTTTTATTCATTTTCTCCAGGCTCAGAGAATTACAGCATGTTGCTTTTATGCAATAATGTTTCCAGTCGTAGCTTTGATGCAGTGATAGCATGTAGAGTAAGACACATTTCTGTTGCTCTCTTAAATATATTTGAACAATTTGAGATATAGTAGTGTAAAAAGAAAACTAAGGAATGCTTTTTGTTATGACAGCGGATCTTGTACTAGCATCAGACTTCTACTTTCCATACAGTTTCTCATGCACCTGGGCCACAATGTTTAGGAGGAAACTGTTCTGCACTCTCTTCTGGTGATTGCTCTTTGTTTCAACATGAAAAATAAGCCTGCCGGATCTAACGAAGTCAGCGCAGTTCATAGAAGCAGAATGTGTGCTTTACCCTGTTGTTCTGCTTAAACTAATTGTACTTTGCACCTCGGCAGGGCTCATACCTGGAAAAAAGATTGTGCTGCTGAATAGCTTCCATCACTTGAGCTGCTCAGCTGCCTTCTCACAGTATTGTTCCTTGTAAATACAGCCAGAAAGTGTCTTTTAGCTGCTAACTTTATCCACCCGCTACTATACAAAAGCTTTCCCTAAAGACAGTGCAAATTATCAAACAGGTACTGCCTGAAGATGACTTCTCCTCACTCTTTTCCTCCCCACTACCTCAAAACACACACCTAAAACAAATAGGGAGACTGATTCTTCTCTTCCTCCTCGACTTGGGGTCAGCATAAGGAGCTCACTTGGACCCAACCCTAAATTTTCGTGCCAAAATTTCAATCATATCTGAATTAATTACAACAGCCCTTTTGAATTTTCCAGCTTAAAATGTTGTATATTCTAGACAGATGGATCTTGTTCTTCATGTTTGTGTTTTGATTCTCCAAAATGTGCTTAAATAACCTTTCCTGCTACTTCCAAAGCACTTTGTGTTGATATTTAAACAAAGATACATTTCTCTTAATGGAAATAGCAGTCAAGTGGTTCCTGCACTATTACACTAGTATTTCCCCAATGGACACTGGACTGCTTCTAAACCTACTATTGCGTGTTTTCAGTTATAAGTACGAGACATCACATACAGCTTCTTCAGCCAACTTAACTTCAAACATAAATCCCTGTTCCCTACATCAAGATGTGAACGAAACCTTCTTGCAAGTCTCCAGGTCAGGTAAGGAACTGTAAGTGTAAGTACAAATACAGAAGCTAGTTTCGTGGTTGCAAGTGGAGTAAGTCATTGCCACATGCAAGATGTTCAGTTAGATTTCTAACATCAGTCTGTACCTGTTTGGGAATATTACCAATACTTTATGCACTTTGTGTACCACATTTGAAGAAGAAACATCCATCAAACACAAATTACAAGGATCCCATCCCCAATTTCTTATGTTCACGCTTCCAAATTACAATAAAATCAAACTAACACTGAAGAGGATGCTGAGACTATGTTTGAATTACACAGTTTGGTAGGTGGAAGAGATAGCATGACAGGACATGAAACTGCATGGACTTAACTGTAAATAAATGAAGGTTTCTATAATCTTGATTACAATATGAAATACAGCTCTTGTATGTACTGATTTCCATGAGATATAGGTAAAATAAGAGACAAGCTGTGTCCCAGAAACCATCTCAAAATTTTCACATTAAAGATAAATGTTATATGCCAGGTAATATATTCATAACAATATCAATCTGCCATTTTTTACACAGGCATTTTTTCGGATGAGTAATACTTATTTGTACTTTCAGAAACCAAACACAATGGAGGTGGAGGAAAGTGTTATTAAAAGATCATTAAAAAGTATGAGTTTGATGGCCTTTCATTAATCTTCCATGAGGAAAATGTTGTTAATACCTTAAATATTAAACTATAATCATTTCATGTGCTGAATTTCCTGTGGTTTGTCACTGTTTCCCATTTGACTATTCTATTACAAAGATGTAAACTCTCATCGGCAGGCTGTGAGAAGGAACCATCATCATATATGTGGATATATATCTTACTGGGAAACATGTTACGTGGAATTGGTGAGACACCAATAACACCACTGGGCATCTCTTACCTTGATGACTTTGCTAAAGAAGAGAATGTTCCTGTGTATGTAGGTAATCTCAACATAAAGTAATGTAAGACTTGTGGTGTAAGAAAGAGGTCTATCATCCTCTGCAGAAGAAAATTTTCAGCTGTTAAAATGTACTAGCATCTGCTTCATTATATTTTCAGCAAGTTTGCACACAATAGGCATGATGGGTCCAATGTTTGGTTTCCTGTTGGGATCTTTATGTGCAAGACTGTATGTGGATATCGGATTTGTGGATTTAGGTAAGGAAAACAAAACAAAAATTAAAGCAAGCTAATGCTTGTTCATAACAGGTTCTTCTACACAGTTACATAGGTTTTTATTATGTTAATTAATTACATTAATATAATTTATATTTAATTTATATTTGTTTCATTAATTTTGTTATATACTTTATTATAATTTTATTAATTTACCGGAATCTTTTAGGGTAAAGGCAGAATTAGACAGGGAACACATTTTAGAATTGTGTTTTAGGATTAAAGGATTAAAATGCATATTTAACTTTAAAAGTTAGTCAAGAACTATCACACTACCAAAATGTTTCACTGAACTTGGGTCTCAGTGAAAGATCCCTCCTAGCATAGCAGTTTTACAGTTCTGGTGGATTACCCAGCCTTTCAGCTGTGCATTTTACATTATTTATAATTCTTGTAATGTTTGTGGTATGTTATACCAGCCAGACCTTCCCATATATATTATATATGCATATATTCACATCTGCAAAAGGCCAGATGAAGCAGAGCAATCCCTATTAGCCAGCATGTAACAATCATAAAAATTAAATTCTCGTCTTCCTTGCAACACAAATTTTAAAGTTCTGGCTAATCTCAATGATGCCACTATGCTTAACAGCAACCTATATAGTTCAGGTTAGCAGAGGGTAGTCTCAATAGAAATGTATCAATCAGCCCTAAAAGGACCTTTTAGGGTTGCAGCTTGTCTGCCACCCATTTTTGGTTTCTTATGTGTTGGATAAAGACATCTGTGTCACCATGTACGCCACAAAATGGCAGTCAGCATAGGATGTAGAAAGGCAGATGAAACAACACCTTTAAAGTCTGATTCCTGATGTATTCACTTCTTGAATAGTCTCTCATTAGATGATTTTGGTTACTGCTTAAAGTCAGACATTGTAAAATGTAGCTATTTTAGCAGATAAAGGGTGGTAAGTTTCAACTTATTCATTTAGGTAACTTGTATCTGTTTCCTTGAATTCTAGGGAGCATCACTATCACCCCACAGGACTCCCGCTGGGTGGGTGCATGGTGGCTTGGTTTTTTAATAGGTGGAGTAATCAGTTTGCTAGCTGCTATTCCATTCTGCTTCCTGCCAAAGAGCCTGAAAAAACCAAAAGCCAACAGTGACCACACTTCATATGGTCTCTTGGAAAACATTGGGTCTACAGAGAAGAAACTTACTGCTGCAAAACCTAAGCCGAGGAAGTGGTCAGTAATACTGAAAGGCAAGTGTTTTACATGTTGTATAAATGTAAAAAGGCAAAAGCACAATGTACAGTGGGAACGTAACAGTTCTGAAAAACATTTTGCCTCCCTTTAACTTCAGTCTGAGCCAGCTAGCTGTCCCCAATAAAGAAGGGGTCTGCTAAAGGTTTTTAGAAGTCAAAAAGCTTGTTCAAGTCTCTGAGGTTCTGCATGCATCACTTGCAATGTATCATAGCCTAAGCAGCACCTATCTCTAAAATTTTGTGGCAGAAGAAATTTGAAGAGTGGAAAAATTGTTTCTGTATCAGGACCTAAAAAAAATATTAGAAGGCTCCTTTTGGAGTACTGAAAACCAAATTATTCATCTGATCATTGTACAGCTCATGGAGACATTGAAGCACATTACTGCCTAAGGAAAATGTACCTGTTCTCAGGCTAAGAAAAGGGTGAAAAGGAGATGGGGAGAGATAGCTTTGCATCATTAGTCAAATCCTCCCATCTTTGTTCAGTTCCCAATGAAAGATACTGGGTATCTCCACAAAGGCAGCTCTTACTTAGCCTTGAACCTGTGATAATATCTATGTAAGCTAAAAGAATTGGAGCCCTGTAATCTTCATGTGCAGATCTTACTAGAGCACCCATGCTTTAACCCATACTTCTGTCTTCTTTTAGGACTCTCATCCTTTATCTTGACCTCTGGTGTTCTTCAAGAACCTGATTTTGCTTTCAGATACTCGTATGAAATGAAGATCAATATGATTTGCACTTGGACAGCTGAGAGAAGGATTTTGCCTTAAGTTTTGTAGACTACTCACCAGTAATTATGCCATGAATTTTCCAAAGCCAACTAATATATCCCTTTCTTTCAGATTTCTATACCTCCCTGAAAAAAGTATTGAGTAATCGAATGTACTTTACATTTATGTGTTGCTCACTGTTACAATTTAATAGCTTTATTGGTTTCTTGACTTACAAACCAAAGTACATGGAACAGCAGTATGGGCAATCTACAGCTAAATCTAACTTTCTAATAGGTGAGTTACACTGTGCAATGACTGCTTATGCTATAAGCAGTGCATGGGAATAAGTTCTGGCATGCTTTTTCTGGGACTGAATTCCTTGCAGAACAGGCTGATGTAAATGGCAGTCTCTCCTGAACTTGAATTATATAAAGGCAGCATTCAAACTAATGTTTTGGCACTTATAGGACCAGAATAAATTATTATATATGATACTTTATGATATTATATTAAATTATGTCATGTCATATAATATTATATATCATGTCATGTCATATTCTGTTATGTTACATTGCGTTACTATTTACATTATAGCAACAGGACCCCAAATGTGCATTGAATGTGTTGTGGGAGTTCTAATTGCTGCAATGTCTGACAAGTGCCTTCGAATGATAGTGGGGTTTAAGGGTTAGGCACTTCAAAAATAGCATATGGGATTAGGCTGAGCACAAAGCCACCTAAAGTCATCATAATAGAACATAAAGCTGCCAGGCCCATCAGTGTGAGGACAGACTTTAGCTCTTAAGTCCACTGTGACTTTTTTATTTTAACATTCCCTTTCTATAATCTCTTACAGGACTGACATCTTTACCTCCTGTAGGTCTTGGAATTTTCCTGGGGGGCGTTTTAATGAAAAAGTACAAAATGGGCATCATTGGAGCAATCAAGTTTGCATTTTCCATGTCATTTGTGGCCTATCTCCTCACTCTCTTGCACTTTTTTGTTGGCTGTGAGAACCATGTGGTAGCAGGAATGACAGTGTCCTATCAAGGGTGAGTATAAAATGAAGAAGAGTATGGTTTTCTCCATAGCAGCAATAGTTAAGAAAATGTACTATGGCATCAAGGCTAAAAGAGGAACGTGTTTTTGTAATCCTTAAGAGAAAGTGAACACTACCCCATGTCATTGTGATAGTTTCACTAGTTAAAGATTGGTGAGAAATACATTAGCAAAATTGCATAATTACCAGTGTAGATTCTTTGGCTGAGTGTGTGTGTTGTTTGACACAGTACTATTTCTACACCAGAAGCAATTTTCTAGAAAAGAGTATTCAGTAAGAGGATGAAGCATATGTAACAGAGAGCACTGGTAGCATATCCTACACAGACAGAAAGACTGCAACCTGCTAGACTCTCAGCCTCCTGCAAACCAAAAGGAAGCTTTTATGCCCACTGAAAACACTCTCTCCTCTCAGGAGAGAGCCAGGGTTTGAAAGTTAAAGGCTGTTATTTTGCCTTTGAAAGAGTGAAGATATCAGCAGAAGGGATGCATGCTGGGCTCTAGATGTCCAAGGGGCCTAGCAACACACTTGCATATGAGTTGTCACTGCCTCACATCCAGCCTTTTCAGAGTATCTCATAGCTAGTGTGAACCTGTCTGTGTCTCCCTGAAGACTTACCTACATTTCAATAATCTGTCACTATAGTTAATCTATCAAGCCATACTTGTTCACAGCTGAATATGTGAAACTGGACAGGCAAGATGCCAAGGATGTTTATATTTGTTGGAACCTGAGAACTAGTTGCTGCTTGTCCTTTACTCTGCAGCATTTCACTAAGAATGCAAATGGTGGACCAGGGAATGTGCTTAGTAAGTGCTGAGGTGAAACAGATGACAAGCACATAAGCTTAATTAACCCAGAAAGGAGAAGATGAGGGAAGACATCCCTCTTTGTTGCAGATCTCAATGCCCCCAAAATGTCTGAAAGTAAAAAGGAATGCTGCATTCTCCATATTCTCTAGGAAGACTTAGGCTGCGCTTTAAGACATAGTATTTTTTACCATGGAGACCAGGCAATCTAGTTTCTATCACTGTTGCAGTTTTACCAGGAAGTAAAGATGTACCTGATAAAGACTGTGTAAATTGTTGCTAGCTCCATGTTCAATTAGGTGATAGTCTAGCTGACCTCTCAAAGCCTCTTAAAGCTTTTTTTTTTTCTGTCTACATCTGTCAAGTAAAATCAGTAGTAATGTTTCTATTTCTTTTAAAATTCTTTATAATCTAGTAATCACTTTAATGTCAGTGCAAGTAGGATGGAATCTCAAACAAACAAATCAATACTGTAGAGACTTAACTATGAGAATGTGTGTCCTGGGCATATGAAGTGAGTTTCAGGACAGCAACACTGTCACACAGGATAGATTCAGTGACAACACTGAATTAAAAGTTTCTTACACCTTTACACCTGTCTAAACTTAACTTCCAAGAAAACCCATTCCATACCATGAAAATGATATCTTTTCTGAGTGCAACTCTGACTGCAAATGCTCCTCCAATGTGTGGGATCCTGTGTGTGGAGACAACGGAGTCACATATGTTTCAGCATGTCTAGCTGGGTGCACGGCTTCGGTGGGACAAGGAAAGAACACAGTAAGACCCTTCTTCAGTTTCTGAGGTTTTCTACTGGCCTATTTTCTGTGTAACGTCAGGGATTTAGTATTATAATGTATTTAAGAAAAAACTAAGTTACTAGAGACCAGTCAGTGAAGTATTTATGATTTCTTGCTACAAGCAGTGCAGAAAAGAGATTTGTCTGAGTTACTGCACATGAAAGAAAAAGTGCTACGTCCTTGTTGTAGATAATGATTTTCATCTTTTGTAAATTGAACACAAGAGGGAGACACAAACAGATGAAAGCAGTTACATGTTGTCTGAAGGTTGTCCATGTCTTGCCCTTCATAAACCTGATTTTGGGTGCCCTGTTTAAAGTCAATAGCTGAAGTACACTAAGTGCAGTATCTTTCCCAATACTGATAATTATTCTGTAAGTACAAAGAATGACTTGAGGGGAGTCAGTTTATCTCCCCCACGTGAGACTCTGGGATGGCAGGATTCTGCTTATTGTTCTGGCTGACTGCTTTCTGCTTAGCACAGATTGCTAAGCAGATGTTCAGAGTCCCAAAGAGCAAGCTCCAGCCCATGGATATAAGCCTTCATTGGACTGTATCATTCCCATGTTTTCTGATGCCAAATGATCACTACAGAATACACATGGTCTGGAGCTGTCTCTTGCAGCCAGTTTTCTCTCCAACAGATTTTTCTTTGACACTGGTTTCTCTCTGCTGTCTACAGTCATCTTCTCCAAAAGACACTATTTGCTTAAAATCTTAAGGTGGGAGGCAAGGGAGAAGGACTCAACAGCATCCATGACAGTGAGACCACTAACTCCCACACAAGTCTGTCTCTGTAGAGGTTAAGGTTTGTGGCTTACAGTTCCCTTCACCTCAGCACACTCTAAAGCCCCAGGAGCCCTAGATAAAAGCTGTTGCTCCTAAACTCTCAGTACACCTACTGCTAATCTCAGGGCTCCACAGCTACTGCTTACAGCTGTGAGGTATGTCTGGGGGGTCAGGATTAGCAGAAAAGGACCTGTGATGCAGGTCCTTTTCACAGACACAAGTCAACAGAAAGGGGGTGTCACCTAGCAGCAAAAGGCACAGCTCCTTGAGCCTCACTTTTCCACTTTGACAGACCTCTGGGGACACAAAGGCTGAGGCCAGTCACAGAAGTCCTTCAGGTACTCCAAACATCCTCCCAAAAAGTTTACTATGTTCACTGGCAAAAACATGCTGGCACAGAACATCTCTTCCAAATGTTTGCAGGAAATAAAAGAAGCTGCTGCCCATTGCATCAAGAAAGCCAAATAAGATTGGAATGGGATGCTTAGGAGTGCTTCAGACTCTGCTTTTGTTTGAAGGCATGACTCCCCATTGCATGAGTAGTGTCCTATCAAATGTGCTTTGTGTCTTCCAGGTCTTCCATAACTGCAGCTGTATTGAAGCCAGCAGTTCATGGACAGGAAATAACTCTGCCACCTTGGGGCAATGTCCAAAAAGTGAAGATTGTTCAATGAAGTTTATTTACTATACAGTAATACAAGTCATAAGTGGCTTTTGTTATGCATTGGGAGGCACCCCAGCATACATGATTATGTTTAGGTAAGTAAAACTAACTGCGTACCAAAGGTAGAGGCTATCCAACAAGAGCATCAAAACTATGTTAAGGTTTCTCTCCCTTAGGAAAAAAGATTCTCTTTCAGTATAACATGCTTTCTTTAATGCCCTTTGTCATTTCCCATTTGTTTGTAGCTGTTTGTTAGCATCAAACCTGCCTTTGCTGCTATCTGTAAGTTGATTCTACTGTATGGCTTCCAGCTACTGCAAAATGGTTTCCCTCATGCCTGTCATACGCCCAGGTTTTCCAGAACACATCCTCTTTGTCTGCTTGGTTATTCTGGCTGAATGGATTTTGAAAATGTTTGAAAATGCATTTCTGGGGTTGCCCTAACAGATTGTATTTATCAGATGTCTGGAAATTCATGACACGTACGGGCTCATTCTGAGGCTCCTGTGCTCCTGTCTGTCAAGGTACACAGGTTCAGGCATACCAGGATGTGATTTGGAACCATGTGTACAAATTAGTACATACTTTTCAGTAACCTGGAGAGAAAGCTTTCTTGTTAGAAAAAAAATGCATTAATGGCAATTTTAATGGTAGTCCTAAGAGCATTGTGTTGTCTTAAATGAGCATGGAAAACAATGTGAACTCCCTCCCTTCCTCATCTCTGTGAGATGCCTTTTGAAGTGTTGACCATTTTAATATTTGTAAGGAGGTGGCAGAAGCTGGATATATAATGGACTCAAGATCAGTGAATGACCATTTCTGATGCTTGGAATGTGGTTCCAACAGAAAGGCATACTTCCAGATAGCTTCGTGTAGTTCAAGATGTGGCAGTGTACAGAGAAATGTCATTCAATAGAAACATAACACACCAATGCACATACTTGCAACATCTGTGTCTTAGGGAAATATGGTATATCCCATCAAGCGAGGAAAATGTATGCAGGGAATTAAGGCAATTGGGGAGCCCATTTCAATAAGACTAGGATAGACTGTGATTGTGACTAATATTTCACTTCTTCAGTTATGCTTAAGTGAATGGACTTCCCAGGAGCTATGTGATGGAAAACAATAGATTCATTCACCCTTTTCATACCACTTAATGTATTTTCAACAGCTGTAGGAAGCACTCTCCTTCCAAAGTTTGGCTTTCTGTCATTAAGAGTATTAATTTCAGGTTAATTAACACCAGTTTAATAGGCATGTCTTAACACTAGATAGGCAAATACGTCATAATTATCCCTCTTTCTTTCAGATGTGTTCAGCCAGAGTTGAAATCTCTTGCAGTTGGCCTGTACACGCTCATGATGAGAATGCTAGGTAAGAGATCATTTTGGTTGAGATGCTTCTTCATATGGCTTCAAGTGACACCAATGTAGACACCATTTATCAAAGAGATATATCCCTGAAACAGTTATTAGATCCTGGGGTGTTCCTGAAGATCCTGAATTTTTTCCTGAAAGTCCAATATTCAGTCAAGGGTTTGGTGGGAAACCATCTAACACAGTTCTGAAAACCTTTGACCTGCTGATTAAATGCTGTTGCAGTTTGGGAGCTTGGTGTCCCAAAATGGGAAGAGTTTCTAAGCAAAATTAAAGTATTATCCTGTCTTTCTAAGCACTGACCCCTTTCCATATGCTTTTGCTTCAGCACATCGAGCCAGCATGCTCCTTCCACTGCAAGGAAGAGTCATTGCCACTGTTTCAAAAAATCTGGCATTTCTCTTCAGTGACTTCGACATTAAATCTGATGCACTCCCACCTTCCTTCTCGAAGGAACTTCCATAAATGGTGTTAATGATCATTTGTCCCATCGTTCCCTGACTAAAGCACTGATGATTATAATACACAGGTCTTTATAGATATATTACTGAGTTCAGGTTGTCACAAGAGCCCTAGGGCAGAACAGGCTGAAAGTATACCTATTTTTACAAAATAAATTATTTCGTACATCAAAATACAGGATGCCCCTGCAGCAATGAAGCTAGTGTGAAGCATAGTCCTGTACATGCTAAAGCATTTTTCTGAAGTTAATACTTGCCTTTACTTCAGCAAGGCTAGGATTTTGTCCCTTGTCTGCCATGTTTTGCAGAAAAGCATAGGCTTGTATCTGGCCAAGCCACACTAAGGATTTCTGTTGCTTTACCCTCATTCAGACAGAAAGGACCATCAGCCAGTGTGGCTAATTCAGGCTATGCATAGAAGAAGGAATAACTCATCAGAGCCATGCTTGAGAATTCAACATGCATGACTACAAACCTAGCCAACCCATCAGAGCACATTTCCTGGGGACTGATGATGCCCACAGCACAGAGAGGGTGTCCCAGCTTACAGTGATTCTGATAAAGAAAACCCCCTCTGCAGTCCAGTCCACATATTGCCATTATTGAAGCATAGAAATTACTACTAAGAAAGTAATATAAAGGTGATTCCTAAAGTCTTTTCCTGTGATATCTTTTGACATTTTTGCTTGTTTCCTTCCAGCTGGGATTCCAGCACCAGTTTATTTTGGTGCACTGATTGACAAGACATGCTTGAAATGGGGAAGCACAAGCTGTGGTCACCAAGGGGCTTGCCGGCTGTATGACTCCAATGCGTACAGGTAAGGCAAATTAGGGCACAATAAACCTCATGCATTTCCTTTCTACATATAGACATGCTTTGTTGTGTTATACTGTAGTGTATGAAGCCACTCATCAAAAATTATGGTCAGATAGTGACTCTGGACTCAGATTTAGATCAATCCAGAATTCCTGAAATTGAGGCATCTTAAGATCAAGTCGAAACCTTAGTTTTTCAGTCAGTTTTTATGTTGTGTAAAAATCATTTCATATCAATGACCGATTTCTGGAATTATTACATATTTTTAATATCCTTTGAGTTAATTTAAAGACTTGGTATGTTAAAAGATTGTATGACTTACCATCAAGAAGAAAATTACTCAGATCTACCCTACTTGCAGGTAGTTTGGTCATACTGGCAAGAATGTTAACTTTGTGTGCTGGCCACATTCGAGAGAAAAATAAGTGAAAGAAAGTCATGCTGAGCAGCTGAAGGTGTTGGTTAAACACAAACACTATTGGTCTCCAGAAGGAATACTCCAGAGATTTTTCTCAGTTTCAGACAGACCTGGGCCACTTCTGATGTGCTTTTTATTTTTAAATACAATAGCCCACTCTGGTGTTCTCAGCATATTTCCAGCCCTAAAAATTGTAAGGCCTTAAAGTGATAAAAAAAATCTTCAGAAACAAATGGAAGATGATGGATTTTTTACTTTGCAGCTGTCTTCATAAGCAAAAAGAATATTATCAATCCTTTAACATAAACTTTTGCAAGCAGAAATGATAAGTTTGTGGTTCCATTCACAAACAGTGATTTTTAATATTTTTCCCTAAGCTTTTTTTGGTATATATGCGATCCTTAAAAGCCATTTATGGTGATTTTCTTCAGTGTCTTTGAAAACTTCAATGTTTGACACTATCTTCTAATCTCTACCCCACAGGTATGTCTACCTTGGTTTATCAGCAGTATTAAGAGGTCCTTCCTACTTGATTGCAGTCCTTTTTTATATATCGATGAAGAAACACTTTCAAAATAAGGACTGCAGGCCTATAGAGAATGGAGGAAGGGAAGATGCTCCTGTGAATAAGGAAGATAATTGCAAGATCAAAGAACGTTTGCCAGGTTCTAATGATGCAGAGAATGAATCATGTATTTAGAAAGCCTCTTAGACCAGTGGCACATGAATCAGGACAGGTTCTTTTAGAAACTACTTTTACCATATTATGAATAACTAATAAATATTAGCACCATTCATAAAGCAAAACTAATAGCAAACTTGTGATCAACAACAACAAAAACTAACATATAAATATGAAAATGCCTTATGTCTGGTGCCATACTCACCTGGTTATCAGGGACAGCCCAGGTTACATGAACTGAACCAAATTCTCAACAGATGAAGAAAAACTTCCAATAAAGCAGGTATGCAATTTTTAGTGGGGTCAAGGATAACATCTGGCAGAACAGCCCACAAAATGTGATGGTGATCCTGTACGCAGATCCATGCAGTAGACTGCCTCAGGAATGACAAGCTCACGGCTAACAGTAGCGTTTTGATTTAATCAGATTCAACCAGAATCCATAGTAAAACCAAAGCCTTTAAGCAAAATATTTCCACCTTATCTAAATGAAACATTGCAACAATTTTCTATCACAAAATAGACAAAAGCAGTATTTTTCCAGGAAGCATTTTATCGTAGCTCAGCTGATAATCTTATGCCTACTTAAAACTACAAATAGGTTGCCTTAAAGGAAATAATTGGTTTTAAATATCTCAGCGTCTTAGCATTTTATTAAAAACTAATTCGTTTAGTTAAGTGACTGTGAAACGTAAGAAATATTCAAAATTTTTTAGCTATGTTTTCTTAGCAAAATCCACCCGACATATGCTCGTGGCTTTATTGCTATGTCATGTACTGTCCAGCAGAGGACACTCAAACAACAATATTAGCCCTATGACTGCTGCAAATGCTCGATATATTTGTCATGTTCAGACTTTATTGTTCTGGGAGAAGTTCATCATCAGGCAGGCAAAACACTCACCTCCGTTTTCATGCATCTTAAAACTTCCTCAGTGCAAGCCTTTAGCTCATATATTCAAAGTTGCTTTTGTGTATTTGTCGGTTTGTGTTCATCATATTTGCGTCACTCGAAGCTTGACAACAATTATTACTCTAAATAAAAAGATGTTTACTTGCGTACCGTTTCACAACAGTGATTGCATTCTCCACTTGATACTTTAAAACAGAAGCCCAAGGCTCAGTGGGATATGGCTAATAGACATGTTAGATAGAAAGTACACTGAGCAAAATGCTGAGTTGTTCTCAAATGTGCTGTCTGTCATGACAGTCACTTAGCAGTGGTTGAAGTAGCTGAAGGAAAAAGAATGGGACTTTTGTCCGAATGAAGTTATATTTACTGGAGGTAGAGATTCTCCATCTATCAAAATTGATATGGTCTTTTCTTACAATTGCATTTGCAAACGCTTTGACATATCCAGATACAGCCATGGGAATGACCTGTGGGACCTAAAGGAAAGAACCTCCTTATCTAACTACTGGGCTTGGGAGTGAGTTTTGACAGGGAAAGTAATTGCAGCTGTCTAGCTGTTTATCAGCTGCTTTGTCCTCATGGTATTTTATTAACATGTGTTGGTTCACATATAATTTCCTATGGTGTCTTTAAACCCAGGGCTTTAGGTGAGGCATTTTTAACCCAAAACCTGTAACCTTTCAAAACACCAGTTTTAACTGAAAACTAGAGCTAATCCCAGATGACAGACTATGAGAACTATGCACAAAGAATCAACAATGCCAGAAAAAGGTGTTATGGCCTGCAGCAAATCTGGGAAGCTATTACTCCAAACTCATGTGGTCAAGGAGGTGTCAATATACTGGCCTTTTTGGACACAGAGAAGAAGGCTGGCAGAAGAAGGTTATAACCTCCTTATCAATACTTTTTTCCCCTTTTTTGTCTTAAAAATGCTCCCAGCCAGAAACAGCTCATCTGCCTTCTGATGTCACAGTAGGTCATCACCAGTAAGGGAAGAAGAGAGAGCAACACTTTAATTTGTTGTCAGACTTAAATTGTGATCTTCTCCCCAACATTAAAAAGCTGCAACTGTAGATCATGGATCTATGGTCGAAGGAGAGCAAACAGGACAAATTATTTCACCTAACAGTGCAATGCTGCCGTTAATGTTTGTGCTGCCCTTGGATCTTAAGAGCCCTTGCTGCGTGAGAAATACTGTGCATGCACACACGCAGACACATGCACAAAATGGCAATCTCTGCTTCAAGATGCATGCATCTGAGCTAAGACAAGATATATATTGCCAGACAGAAAATCATCAAGAAATAATGACAACTGCTTCTAAGCATGTTCAGGAGACATCTGAAGAAAATTAGGAAGATAATTTTGAACGTCTTTACAGTTCTGGGAGGAAAGCTTAAGTAAAAGAGCTTGTTAGTAAGATGTGCATGAATGTGTTTCAGCAGTAATCTGCCACTACAGCCACAACTTTTACACACTAGGTAAAATTAAAAGCCCACATCTACTCCTTTATCCACTGCTGTGGATAAAAGTCAGGCTGATTTTATTCAGGTGCCTACCTTTATGTATTGAAGTTTTGGAAACTAAGCGCAATGCCTCTAAACCCAGAGTGACAGAGTTTACAACCTAAGAAACTGGAAGCTGTTGCAAAACCCGGGGGTGGGCCCTTGGTTTCCTTTGCACATTTTTTCTTTTTTTTTCTTTTTTTTTTTCTTTTCTTTCTGTATTTTTCTCTTTTTCCCTGGATAGGTGGGGTTTCTTGGCAGTGTAAAAAAGCAGTGTAAAAAAAAAAATGTTTTATGTTTCACACTTAAATGTCTCGGCCTGGCCCCTCTTCATGTTCCTCATTTGGCCCAAGCCAGGCCAGGTGACACCCCTGCAGAGGTGGCAGGTAACTGTTGAACAGACACGTCCCTGTGTTTTCAAATCAAGAGGTTGCCAGCAACGTAAGTTTCTTCCGAACATTAAACTCTGAGCTTCATAAAAGAGCATGAAAAGGGAGGCAAATTATAAATGATGCTTTTTCAGAGTAGAATGGATGAAAACAAAGAAGAGGAAAAAATGAAAGCGTTTGCATAATGAGCTCTGGGAGAGCAGGAGGAAATCAAAACTCTGATGAAAAGTTTAAGAAATTATCTTCCCCTGTGAGAGAAGCAGAGCAAAGGTGACATGCTATGAACTGCAAAACACATTTAGGTTTTGGTGTTGTGCATCACGGGTGAGAGAACAAAAAGTACAAAAAGAAAAAGAAACCCTTTTCTTATGTTACTGATTTCTGTGCTTAAAGCAGGCCAGGGAATTATTTTGGGGATTTTGCTAGCACACAAGAAAGTAACTGCATTTAATCTTTCCCACTGATCTCCAAAATTATTATAGACATACTTTTGTAGCTAAACATGCTTCGCTAAAGGTGCTTTCAGGGGAGTGTCCCCAGTTCAAGACAATGCTGACACAGAAAATAAGTGGTTTTCCAAGGCTGTATGTAATTCCGTAAGCTTTATGTCTGCATCATGGCAAAGCAAGAGAAAGGCTCATTCCGCTTTTATGTGGTATATAGTACCCCATGGATGCTATCATAGTTTTATTCTGCAGCAGGATTTACAGACAATAAAATATAGACATATGATACAAACCAAACACTTGATTTGTTTTATTCTGTTGGAAGACTTTCTCCTGGTGCAAATCCATCCACTGTGAATAACTACATTTACCTGTCCAGACTGACAAGTGGGCTCAATAGTGCTCATCTGAAAAAATGTTAAAGATTAGGTCTGTTTTTCCATTTATTTCAAAATTTATAAAATCGATTTCTTGGCAAAATTGTCATCTGTCATGCATTTTATCTAATGCAACATTATCACCAGATGGTGACTTTAAACATATGTATTTTCTTTTCTAATCAAATTCTTGGAATTAAAAAAATTAATTTAGTGTACTAGTGGGAAACATTCTGACATAATGCGGAAACACAAGGAACACTCTACAGAACTGTGGAAGCCCATTCTGCTTGCCCTGCTGGATGATGGTCACAGGCCTGACTAGGGATGGACCACTGATGTTCTACTCACTTGAAGGGTAAATGTCTTATGTGCAGTCAGATCTCTCAAGTCTTTCAAATTGTTTGCTACATTCATCCAGAACGTTAGCAGTTACTCATTACTTTTAAAAGACACTTGCTAGTGGTCAATAATAGCACTACTTTAGTTTTCATAGTTCACCTTCTTCTGCATGCTTTCTGGAATTCCTTACTTCCAGGAACACTTAAGTACCTGCAAGCATTTACTTGCAAAAGCTCCTTAGCTTCCAATTATTCCACTATTCATTTTTGCCTTTCTTGAAAACAGATTTTGAAAGAGAGCTCAATAGCTGACTCATTTCTGAATCATCATTAATTTCAGCCCACTAGTCTTTTTTTAATCCTTATTTTAATACATCAGATTTAAAGTTGTTTGCTGTTTTCATTAACTTTAGGGATGCACTGAGCTAGGTGAAAAGAAGCATTATGAAGGGTAAGAAATACTTTTGCCATCCAGGCCTCAGAAATGCCCTGAATTCAGCCCTGTTAGAAAAATCCTTCAGGGCTATAAGGAAACCAACAGCTAGTTTTTAAGGTCATACAAACATTAACAGGTGTAGAACATGTGCAATTGGGTGAGTTGTTATTATCTCTATATTGATGCTGCTACTTAACAAGGATGTGCTTTGCCAAATTGAAGTAAGTTTGAACTTGCAATAAAGGCCAACATTGGTACTCACTGACATTTCCTGGAAAGCAACTGCAGAGGATGCATTTAACAAGTATACACCTGTTTCTCCTAAAACGCTTCAAGAGGATTGAAGGCTTCAACAAATGTAAAATTGCAGAACAAAACTGCCTTAGCAGCAAGTACTGATGGATGGATGGATGGTCAAACATTCAAAATCAAAATAAAAATGTATCAATCCAATGTACTACCTAAATTATTTTATATCCTAAACCCACTGAATTGGTTGAAACACTTCTAATACAGTCAGAGAGTACATATGGGAAGTCTTTGTAATCCAACAGCTTTTAATGTTACTTTGAAAGTTGAATTAAGAAGGGAAAAGAAAAAAGTCATGGGAATACAAATAATAGGATTGAATACAATAACCAGACGAAGCTGTCTTGTCCAACTTCTTCCATTAAAAAAGAAAATCTGCAAATAATCCAGCCCAGTTGATCCAGAAAGGCAATCCCTGGGTAGGTCCTGAATGCAGAGCTAGGACTATTTGTGTTGACACAAGAGTCCCTGCTCTGTGCAATTTCAACCCAAAGAGGGATAAAATCTTGTTAAGGAGTTACTCTCTTACTTGCAGTCACCTCTCTCCAAGTTGCTGCAAGTTACCTTCTACAGTGAGAGCTTGATGACCAGCTGGTTTTGTTCCTTTATGGCTCTTCATATTTTCTCTCAGACAGTGACTACTGCGATCTACAGAAAAAAATGGAAACCATGGTATTTCCACTACAGTTCCCAATAGTGTCTTCAGATCTTAGATGCATCTGCAGCAGATACAACCAATTCAAGTCATTACTCACAGCTGTGGCAGGGAGGCTGCTGTGGTGGCAGGAGCAGCCCACAGGATACAGGGAAGAGGACCAGCATGTTTGTGCAGAACTGCACTCTCCTACTGTTATGAATCAGCACTTCCTGTAGGGCCACCTCACAGTGGGACATCAGGCTCCAACATCCCTGTGTAATGAGTCACACTAGCAACCTACGCTTGTTATCAGGAAGACACATCCAGAGGGAGGTAGTGAGTAGGACCACCAGCAGCTGCAGGGGAACTAGCCACAACTCTCCGACAGGGCTGCATATGGACTCCCTGTAGGGAAGCTTCACAATGATGACTGAAGTCATATATTGAGTCACCTAAAAGCAGGATATTATTGGAGGATGCCTTCTGGATTCATCTGAATCTTCATTTCTACCTTTCATCTACCTTTCCTGTAAAAATTACACCTGAGCTATGGGAGCCACAGAAGTTAGTAGATGCACAGGAAACCCAAGTGTTTGATTGATGAGATAATAATAAAATAATTATATGCTCAATTGACATTAAGTCATTTACTATTTTGCAGATAACAGGAAGAGTACTTGTTCATTTATGCAGCAATATGTCTTACAGAGGAACAGGAAACTCTTC